GCATTCCTGAAGGATTAGTGCTCAGGAAATATTGTAAATAATAAATTTTTTATGTGAGGATGTGATTATCTTCAGTTATTCAGAATTCTTATTAAGAAAGTCTTTTGCAAAGCACTCGATTTTGAGCTTTGATCCAGCCTGGATTTGAGTTTCAGAGTCAGAGGTCTCTAGGTTAGAATGATGGACAAGATCTTACAAGAATCTCGAAGTTAGAAGCACATTTTTAGCTACTTTTAACTTGAAAAAAATTACCTGGTTAGGTAGTTGAAACAGGCTGGTTGGTTTCTTTTGGAGTGACTGTGCAGTTGTAGCTTTACATACTGAGGGCAAGCTTACTATGCATCTCATACGGTGTTGTCCTTGCTTCTCAGAAGATGGATATTTTATTCTATAGCATCTGACATCTTGTGTAAATGCACTTCCAAACAGGTCACAGCAAGAAGACATGAAAACTATGGTGAAATTAAATTCTAGAGGAGAAATGGCTGGAGTCTTTTTCCAAGGAGACGGAGCCGTGTCCAAGACTGTTAGGCTATCCTGATGTGACAGTGGAGAGAAGGAAAGCATAAGCATTTTACATCCTGTTGGCAAAAACATCTTTGAGAGAGTTCTTTCATCCCGGTTGTTCTATTATTTTGCTGAGGACCAAAGCAATTTTCCCCCAAAACTTTCAAGGGGTAATACACAGGCACCAGTATAACTGAATGTCAGGGGGCTTTGCTGTTAAATAGATCTGATGTAAAAGGGAGCACTACTGAGAAAGCACGTTCAGAAATTCCCCAATTGCATCCAGTGGTTATATCTTTGGATATTTAGATATGGCAGAAAGGCTCAGATACCATAATATGGGTTAGGGAGCCATTCAGTGCGAGTGACCATACAAGGCAGTCTTTGGTCACCCACTCAGCATTGCTGAGTGGAAAGGCTTAGGAAAGAAGGAGCTGGAGACCGTGAATCATATGAGCATCAGAGCGAATGCCAGAGGAACCTGAGGCATAGTAGAACAGCAAGCCAAGGAGGTGTCAAGAGTGTGGAAGCTGATTATGTTCTAAACATGGTGGAAATTTCGGAGGGTTAGTGTATCAGTGTCCAGCTTAGGCAAGTTGGGTAATTCGTAAGCATGTCACTGACAGTAAGACTAAGCAAAGTCAAGCCAAAACATAATAATAAGAAACTTATTTAAATAGTTATCTTTAACTTATCTTTAAAGATAAAAGGAAGAGTAGTTAATGCCAAATAATGCTAGTTTAGAGAAAATAAGCCTTTTAAAGCTGTTTTTTTTCCACTGAGTCACCAATATGGGTGGCAGAGGTGGTAAAGCAATATACTTAGAATTCCTAAGGCAGTTTTGTAATACATATCCTGATTTATAAACAACAGAAGTACAAGACCAATGTAGCACTTCTTTATGTAATTATGTATATATAATAATTATATAATATATATATATATAAAATATATATATATATATAAATCTTATATAATGTCTTGTGGTGTTAAATAATCTTCAAGGAAGTACTAAAATGTATTTCAGTAGAGTCCTGCTAAAACATTTTGTGATTAATTTTTATTAATAATATAATTTTAATAATTAGAAAATGCAATGAAGTGATGGCATCAGATTGTGTTGGTGTAAAGCAAAGAAAAGAGAATGAAATCACATGCTGTGGTCTGTGTACACCATGACCATGTAGTAGTGAGACCTAAGCAAAACATACTTACATGCTTTCCTCTGATTGAATGTACATCCTTAAATCTAAGAATAAATAATGCAGGATGCACTTATGTTAGTGTATTTACCCTAGTGCTGCCTGCATTCATTAATGTATCCTGTCTCTGAAAACAGGAAGTCCTAACAAGATCTGGGTATCATTTACAATAAAATGAATGGCAATTTTCAGTAACTTCAGAATTATTAAGGAGGAGGAGCAGCTCAGTCTCTTTGGGCATTGAGGGAGAAGGGTTAAGGAGTGTTGTGATCTCAGCTGGTACGTGCCTGGGAGATAACATGCATTTGATAACCTGAGCTAATTAGACAGACAAGCAAGAATGTATCGGTGATTTGATACTGAAGCTACATAGAATAGCCGTAAGTTCGTATTAACGCTGTGCTGCATGCTAGAACCAAGATGCATGTTTATAAGACTGAGGATAACCAAACCATTGAACCAAATTACTATGGTTTGATGGCTTCTCTGTCCCCGGACCCATTAGAGCTGGATAAATAAGATATACCGAAGTTCAGATGCAGTTATTAAATCTGGTACAAGATTTTGCATAAGGCAGTCCAGTGTTTACTTTTACAAAGATTTTCCTTCAGTCCTTAAGATGTAGAAAACTGAATAGAGGCATTTTGTCAATGAAAGCAGTGAGATACAGCAGACATACCATGGAATGTGTCATTTTTCTTTTCTTCCCTTTTTTAGATCTGTTGTCTAGAATAGACTTGGATGAACTGATGAAAAAAGATGAGCCACCACTTGAATTCCCTGATACTCTGGAAGGATTTGAGTATGGTTTTAATGAAAGTGAGTTGTGTACGCTTTGTAAAGACTGTACTTAGAGTAATGTTAAGAGGTTATCAGAACTTTGAGTATACCTTATAAATCCTTATTAGAATTTCACATTTTTCTGCTAAGAATAAAATTATAAGCCTGAGTGTAATAGACTTAAAAATCTAAGTAGTAATTTTTTGGTTCAGTAAAATAGTCAAAAAAAATCCTCTTTATACAGTAATGTAGGTTTGTACTGTATGTACTTCTAAAGCATCTTCAACTTCTTGTTTTCCTTTACAGAAGTTGAAAGTTATTTTTCTTTTGTCATATTAAAAAGACTAAAGAGTACTCAGTTATTTAAGTAATACTTTATTTTGTAACTCATTTTTACATATACGAAAGGAATTATTATTCAGATAATAGTTTATTGCAGCTATTTCATTAACACCCATAGGAAAACACCTATATTTATATTGATGAAACCATGAGCAATGTGCTATGCTTTTAGTCTTCTGCTATTAGATCATGATTTTGCCTGTACAGCTGAGTTTTTGCAGTGACTACAATTCATGCTGGCTAGCTTAATCTAGTTTATGATATTTATAATTTCTAGTGCATACACGTTAAAATACAACAGAGAAAAAAGCTTCTAAGCTAAAGTAATATCAGGCTCCAGGAAATGGCTCTTTCAAGATTGTTTGAAACCTGTAGGACAAATGGGGACATTTACAGTTGTACTACTTTTCAGTGTCTTTCTGTGAACAGAGGAACTTTAGTTTCTAAATCTGCCTGTCTTACATCTTGCACTTTTAAAGAAAAAAAGAGCTTTCCTTTAAATGATAGTCATTTATGCAACACTTAGCTTTTTAATACCCTGATGGCTTTCACAGGAAGGTACTTAGAGACTGAAAGTGTCATGAAAGTGATGCTCTTTCTTTGATGGGAGGGGTTCAGCTCTGTCACTTTTCAGCTCCTTATTTTTAGATCTGCACAGTGTCTACTGTCTTCCTTACTGACTTCAGAGTTAATGGTTCTTATGTGGTTGATAAAAAGGGCTGAAATTTGAATTTAGGGGAATGATGTTTTAGAATGATGTTAGTGAATATTCCATCACTAACCCCACAGACTGAGTGATTTCCGTAGAAGGGAGCAAAGCCTTATATATACACTCTACTGGTCACTAGGCTGCCAGAGTCTGCATTTTGCTTTTGTATGTTTAATTCAAATGTTCTGTCCTGCATTCTTTTGTCATAATCATAGGGGTTTCTTTTATTAAAAAGGAATGAAGATTTGCATCTGATTTAAAGAATTTAAGAAGACAAGGGTACCAGGAAGCCAAGAAAGCCTTGAAAATAAACCTGTTATTTGCTCCAATATCCTTATTGAGAGAACAACTTCCTCTACCAAGGATTGGCATACTTGAAGAGTAACTAGCTGAGAAGGGGAAGCCAAGTATAGAGTAAGATGAAACTATAGGAACAAGGATATTGGGACCTGAGATAGGGATATGAAGTTGGGCAAAAATATTCCTCTAGAGGCTAATAGCTGGAAAAGGCACTGGCCAGGAGGTCTGGGTAAAAATCTCAACTAAGCAGAAGAGATTTAATTTAAAACATCGAGAATTTTCAAAGTATAAATGAACTGAAAGGTGTGAACTGAGTTGGCAATTTGTTGTTTTGCTGAGAAACCTGTATTTTGTAATGCAGACATTGCAGTTTTCTAGGACATGCTGTAGGATCTCTTCTAAATATTTCTCTAATTAATTTCAACTTTAAAATGCTCTGAGATCATAACTTCTGTTTTGTTTTATAAACCGAAACATTACTGTTACTCCTAAGATACCCATTTCCTGTGGTTTGCTTCCTTGGTATTTTATTCTTTCTATTTTAAACTAATCCATATCTTCATATGTGGTTGAATTTGCTACTAAACTAGTGCAGTAAATGAAGAAAATTGCACAAGATTTCATGGGAATGGGAATAAGAATAAAATGGCATCTTGCTTCTACTTCAGCATAAGCATTCTGCTTATAATTCTGCTGTTATAATCTCCCTGAATACTAGTTTTAAGAGCTTTGATTTAAGAGATTTGATTACTTTGTGCTAAGAGCTGAAATATTTACTTTAGATGTGGACATATTTTTTTCAAATTAACCTGAAAGTTTTTTTTTGTGAATAGGCTAATTTTGAAGAAAACTAAAATTCCTCTCCCTCTAGCCCCTGGCCCAGTTTCTACTCATAATTCTCTTCAGTGTAGCCGTCTTCAGAATATAGGGTAAGGGGTAGCTAGAATATGATGACCTCACAACTTCCTTGCAAAACAGGTGAACATTTGATACTTGAATGTAATTTCAGTATCATTGCTTACTTTGTGTTTAATCTTGCAATCCATATATATACTTGAGGAGGGTTGCATTTTGTTATTGTGATACAATTGTTTCCACTTTTAAACTGATACTATAATCAAAATAGGTGAGGGAATGATAATAGCCTATTTTTTACCTGTAGACTTTTTCTTTCTGAAATTAGAAATTTTCAGCAGTGAGGTGCATCCTACTTTTAATGAAGAAATGTCTTAAAATGTAACCTTATTGTTTCTTTTACAGAAGGGCAGCTAAGACATATAAAAACTGGGGAGCCCTTTGTTTTTAATTTTCGTGAAGATTTGCATAGATGGAATCAAAAGCGTTACGAAGCTCTTGGAGAGGTATGTGAATTGTTGTGTATGCATCCGTATTTATAGTATTCTGGGTTTTTTTTTGTGTGCTCCTCAATGAAAACAACTATGTATTTGGAGAAAGATTTAGTGAGGTTACAGTCATTTAACAAAAGTTATTTGTTGCATGATGCTCTAACAGTGTCTTACATTATTTACTGTATAGTCTAGACTGAAATTTAGACTATGCTTTGACCTTCTTCTGTGTTTAAAATAGTAGAAAACGTAGCTATGTAGACTACACAAATTGGAAAAATTCTGCTGTGTAGTATTTTCCATAATTTTCTTGTCCTCGGGGCTAAGCAGTGGATAGAGAAGCCCTGTGGAATTTTACTTTTTAGCTAAAGATACTGGCTGGTCTCACTGATTTCTCCTCAAGTCTCCAGTGAATAACAGAAGCAATTAGACTGATAATCAGATATTTGATGATTGCTTAGATATTTGAATGCTACTGATACTTCCTTTGACTTTGTGTAGACATAGAATGTAGAGACTACTGGCTGTGTGGTTTCTTTCCCGTGTGGAAATAAGTCAAATTTCAATACCATGCTTTTTTGTAACGTTTTAGTAGTCAGAGCATTGACAGAATGAGAGGAAAATCATGTCAGTGAATGCAAGGTGTGTGTGTGCTTAGATGCCATTGCACTGTCATAACTTCCCTCACCCAACAGAAGGAGCAGTTTGAGCACAGTGACCGCTGCAGGTTCCAGTGCTGCCAAAGTCACTGTGGCCGTTGGAGGCCCACAGAAGGGGACACATTGGTCAGTACACAAACTGGAGCCTTTTCCTTAGGGCTGTTGTCCGGTGGTTTTTCTTTGGAAACATTGTGGCACATCTTTGGAGAAACCCTTGCAAAATGCCTTTGCCTCTTGGCTTGTCTTTTTTCATTAGTGTTGTTGTTTTAGTAAGGATTAAACACATTCTTTGAATTACTTCACTCCCCACTCCCTTTCCGTTAAGGTTACTTTGGACTAGTCCAGAGATACTTTTGATTGTTCATGTACTAGACACTTAATCTTTGAAATTTTCTTTTCTACTAAAGAGGAAAAGAAGTTAAATGTTCAAAAATAAAAGTCAATCATAAGCTGTCTCAAAGTATAGAACATCTTGAATTTCTTGGTTTCTTGGATGGGTAGATAAGAATATACTTAGATTATTACTAAATGGCTGTGTGTGTCTTCTGATGGTACCAAGGGTGTATTTATCGAAGCTGAAGAAATATATAATTACATAGCTTTTTTTAGTTATAAGAGCATGGTCTCTGGGATATTATATTGAGAATGTAGGGTCAAGAGAAGAGTGCACGTCAGAGGTCTATATCCAATTGCCTAAATAACACAAATAGCCCTCCATTTTCTCTTCAGCCCTAGTAGGGGGGTGAAGCCTAATCTGAGAATTTTCCCAATCATGAGTTGGGGTATCAGGATTAATTAAGTGCAAGTAGGAGGGGTAAAAATTTCCTTCTGTGGTAAGGAATAGACTGGAAGAGGAAACATAATCCAAGGTTCACATGTGTACACTAAAAAGTTTTGCAGTATTAAGTGTGTAGTATTGAAGTGCCATATGCATACATTCTTGCGTATACAGATCCTCACTTAAGTCCACATACTCTGTTGTATTGGAGAGAATTTACCTTCTTTAAGAAAGGTTCACCAAATAATCCACATTCTTACGAAACCCATAGTGGATGTCAGTCGTGCAAGGTTTTACCTTTTGTATTCAGCTCATGTGTAAAGCCACTGGATCTACCAGGGATAACGTGATTCGGGATAACTCTGATTTCCACTTTCTTGCAATGGCTCCTTAATAGGCTTTGAGGTGAAAGCAGCCTTTCTGTTTGTGCATCTGTCATGAAAAGCTCATACTGACACTCTAGGGCCTCTAAGGGGCCTTACTTGGTATTATTCATTTCTGCCAGCAGAACACAGATTGGCACCTATTCCATGCTCTTTGTGTGCAGACTTTTGCATGTGTTTTGAAAGCCTCATTTTCCAAATATAATTGTGTGCTCTTCAAGTCACTTAAAATTCATGTGTCTCCATGTGGGCTGATCTACTGCCACACCTTCAGGTAGGTGTTTGACAACATCATCAAATTCTTCACTCTGTGCGTCTGAGCTGTGACTGCCACATTTTCAGCCCATATAATATAAAAGACTTTTTGAGATTTCACTTTAGTCAGAGGGTGGGGTATGTTCACAGGGTGGGTGCCTGACATCTGTGATCTGTCATGTGCATTTTGCCTTACTTACAGTCACTCTTCTGGCTGTGGTTTGAGTGATCTTTGCAAATACACACTGTTTATATTGGTAGATAAAAGACAAGGAAGGGCTGAGGTCAGGATTCTGACAGAGGGTGAATTGTTCCAAGCTGTTTATTGGTTTTGTGTTTCCAGCCAAAAAAGAAACTCACCTGTGTTTTCATCTACTGCCTTTGCTAGGCAGTACTTTGATATTGCACAGTCCTCTCAGCAGGCTATGTGTATATTCCACAGTCTCATGTGTGAGCTTAGAGGACACTGCTGGACAAGGCCCTTGGTTTGGGCAGTGTTCTGTCAGTTATCTACTGACGAGACAAGACTTCTTCTGTGCAATAACTTGGCGGGTCATTTATATAGGTGTTGAATGGTATTCAAGAAATACATTATCCTCTCCTTAAACATTTTGTAGTCTGGGGTGGGAACTATTTAACAAACTGATAGCTTGAGAAGTAATAGCTCATATAATTCATAAAATGACATAATAACATGTTGCTTTATATCTTCAGCTTTGAATCATCATTGTCTGGCTTAGGAGAGCTCTAGCATGCATTTGTGGACTTTTTATGTAGCTTAGCATATGCTGAAACCATGAAGTAGCTATACTGGTAGAATTGATCCAGAGGTTTTCTATATTCAGTGTTACAATTCTTTATAAAGTTAGTTCAGTTTTTACATACTGACTCTCTAATTTTAGAGATTTACCCATCCTGCCTGAGGCATTATTTTTATCGAGCATATATGTTGCAGGCTGCTTTCATTGGATTTTACTAATGTTAAGGAATGCCCTTTCTGGCCTGTTGTTCTCTCTGGGAACAGTAATAAGTTTGCATTTGGTAAGCCATGGTTTTTTGCAGTTAAGTGATGTGAATATGTGAACTTCTGTCTGTGAGGCTATCTGTGTAGTTCTGCCATAACTTTGTCTGGAAACCTCAACAATTCGCCCATGTCTCCACTTACATCTCTTTATTCTTCATTCGTTGAGCTGTTATTTCAGGTGCATAATTGATTTTGCAGCCTCATAAAATGTATTCCTAACAGACAATTTAGTGAACTGTCCATAATTTTCTGATTCTGGTTCAGTTATTGCTGTTGTGGTGCTGAATCCTGTAGAGGGTCCTCTCCTTTTCTTTTTTCTTTTTTTGGATTAAAATGGCAACAGAAGCTGTCAGGATGCAGTCTCTCAGCTGTTTCTAACTGTTTGGTAATCCATACTGCAGGTTTGAAGCAGGACTGAGGACAGCTTGGTGACGACAGTTCAATTGCTGCAGACACGTGGCTCTGCTTTGAGACTGAATTCTGGTTTGCAGAGGTGGGGGGAAGCCAGAGTCAGGGAGATTTGGGTTCTGGCTTTTGTGAAAGGTCTCCTTGCACTCCAACTAGATGTCTGTATTCACTGTGCTACACTTTGAATGGGTATCATGGCTACTGAAATTGCCAAGTCATCTTCAGTTCCTGGTCATTCATGACTTCAGAATTAGCTGTTATAACAGAAGAGATGCTACTAAAATGTTTAGGTATTTTGCCTGTATCTTGCCAGCCATATCAGTTGTGTTGATGAAACCATTTCATTTGAGAGAGATGTTGCTATTCTGCTTCCAAAGCCTTTCAGGAACCAGGATATCCCTAGCATCAAAAGTCAGCTGGTGTTTATTCTCTGCGTATTTCAGTTCTAGCCCTTGGGTAGTTATAATTTGGGCGTTGCTTGGAGGCCATTTAACACGTGCTTAATTAGTGCTATCACTAATTAATAGTCTTTTACCTGTACTGCCAACTTCCTTGACTACCCCTGTCTTTCAGACAGTGAAAAGTGAAATACATGGATTGTGATGTGGACCATGGCACAAATGTTTCTGCTGCGGTCCTGTCCAAGGACTATAATGTGCCATCTCCTGGGACTGCTGCCTTGCTGAACTGCGGAAGTGCAGAAGCAGAACTGCGGTTGCTCTTTAATTACAATTACCACACTGTAGTACAAGCAAATACCTCCTATTTAAGTAGAACAGATATGGAAAACAAAGCAGTAGAACAGTCAAGTCAAAAATATCTTCCGTGTTTCATGTTTGATAAGGTACAGTTAATTTTATATTATCAGAGAAATGTTGATCCACCAAATAAAATGCTTTAAAAGTATGTTCATAATTTTAGATCCACCACATCATAAATCAGATTAGCCATCAAGGTTAATATTTGTACGTGAAAAAATAAGCATGTGGAATTATGACAATGACAATCCATAATTAAAATTGCTAAGGAGTATTTTTTTTTCCTCCTCCAGATTCCCTTTAAGTTCAAGAACAGCTTGGTCTCAACACAATCTAAAAAATAAGCTTTCACCTGCTACTAATTTCCTCCTTGGTTGCAAAGAGCATTATTTGTTTGGATGACTGATAGAAAGAAGCTATTTACATAGCCCAAATGAAAGCATAGAGCAGCAGAAGAGGACATGTAAGTTAATGAAGAAGGAAGCATTAAGTAGTCTGCATTTGAAAGGGTAGCTTCTTACATGAATAACCCAAAATCTGATGATAGGCTGCACGTGCACCTGATAGTACTTAAGGTCCAATCTTGCAGCCGAGGCTCATGTGAATAAACTCAATGGGTCTGATCTCGTGAATAAGGGCTGCAGGATCAAGTTCCAAGTAAAATTTGCAGATGATTAGTAGAAATCCTTACACTAGTTTCGGTTTCTTTGCACAGACAGTTTAGCACTAAATGTTCCCCATTTTCTCTGA